CATTGTTAATTATGAATTATTTTTATGGCAGGAGCTACCATAGTGCTAGACCAGGAGTGGACAGTGAGCGAACCACTGGCTGAACACGGTTCACCAGGGTGATCCCCTGGTGGGTCACTGGCACTTTATTTACCTGCATTTCCACAGGTCTAGGCTCTTGCAACTCCCATGATCATCAATCCTAGCCAATGGGAGCTGTGGGAGGCAGCGTCCTGGTCTGTACCACTTTCCACAGCTCCCATTGGCCAGAAACAGAGAACCATGGTCAACAGGAGCTTCAAGTGGCCATAGCTGTGGATGCACAGATAAATAAAGCACAGGAGGCCTACTAAGGACTAACCCTGGTAAATAGCATCTTGCCTGCAAGCCACCTGGTGCCCATGCTAGACAATAAGTAGCCAAAAAAAAAAAGCCCTGCCCCCAAAAAAGAGTCATCTAAAGGGAAGAATTTCTGTCACTAAGGGCAGGTAGGTGCCAAACTCCCATGGAAGTGAAAATTGGGTGACTACCTTCCATCTGAGCCTTTGAGAAGCTCCCTCTAGATAGATGAAATAGATGAAAAGGCAGGAGAAAGGGGAAGGATCATTATCTCAATTTTATTTACGGGGAGCCAAGGCCCAGAGATATTAAGGGTGGACTCTTCACAGGAGCCTAAAGGAGCTGGCTGAAATTCAGAGATGAGGCACCTAGGTTCCTTTGGAAAATGTCCAAACCAGTGACCTGTCCAAGGCCATGTGCCATGTTAGAGATGGGTTGAAACCTGTATTTCCTGAGTCTCAGGACGTTGCCTTATCCCCTCTCCATAGGTTAAACTTTTAATCATACAGAAGTGCCAGGGGATCTGAAATGCCCATGGAAAGCAGACAGGGGCTCTGGTGTTTGTCTGCCACATTAATCTAGATGAAGCTTAATTTAGATTTAAAAAAAATCTAAATTTGGTGGTTGAGATGTCGAGCCACTTTTCTTTTTTACCCCCAGGCAGATGTCCTGGCTTTTCCCTTCCCACCTCAAAAAAGGATTCTGCCTAATTCTTTGCACCAGAAAATGAATGCATATTTCAGGATCGATGTGAAACAATCACACCAGTGATCGGTATGCTTTGAGGAGAAAACTGAGCTGCAGTAGCTCTGCTTTGACAGGTCTTTGGAGGATTTCAGGGAAGTTACACCCACTTCATTCATGATAATCGTCTGTTTAACGCAGAGCAGCTCAGTATTATGAATGAACAGGAACATGTTTTGGCTTGCGGATCAGCTCACAAATATAATGCATCAAACTCATCAAATACCCACCGACTTCATTCTTGAAGTGGAAATGAGCAAAAGTAAGAATCTTTAAAAAAAAATTTTAATTGTACCTTTTTGTTTCTTTAAAGATTCAAAAATGTTTCCCTTCTCCTGGTGGTGGATGTGTGAGTCACAGTGGCTGGAGAATATGGAAGACAAATCACAGCCTCTAAAGCAAATTGGATGCAACTGAAATCAGGTTGTGGTGACATTTGCATGTTTGTTCTCAAAATGCCAAACTCCAGGATTTCATAATGGGGGATGAGGGCGTAATAGGAATGGGATGGAGCTGATAGATGAACTGGCTTCCACTCCACTTGGATAGGGAAACATGCTGACAAGGTCTGGACCATATCCTGTCTTCCACAATGGCTTGGATATTCTTGGTGTCAATATGGCCAGTAGGAAGCTATTGCAGCTAAATGTAGGTCAGAGAGGACATGAAAGTGGCTACAAGCTGCCTTTAGCCTACCCCTTCATTCCTGAACCAAAATTTCTGGAGGAATGGGCACTGCAATCTCTATCAAATACACACTCACAAGTGATTGCTAAGCTTGAACTAAATTCAAGTTGAGCATCCTCTTTGGTAGTGTTGAAGAAAAATATATGGATAGCCATGGTCTTTCCCCTTTCTTGCTTCTTCTCTCCCGGCTTTAGGACAATATTTCGCTGTTTTCTTCTTCTTCCAAGTGCTTTATGCAGCATTAACTATTTTCACCAATCCCCTGTGGTGCAGGGGACCTGTCATTTTGTCAGAAACAAAGTATAGTGCCACACAGAGAAGTATAGTGCCACAGTGCCCAATGAGAGTCTGAGTCAGAGACCATCCAAGTCTGTTTATCTGTCCTAGGTAATTACATCATAGAAGATTAGGGTTGGAAGAGACCTCAGGAAGTCATCTAGACTAACCCGCGACTTAAAGCAGGACCAACGCCAACTAAATCATCCCAGCCAGGGCTTCGTCAAGTCTGTAAGGATGGAGATTCCACCCCTTCCCTAGGGAACCCATTCCAGTGCTTCTGCACTCTCCTAGTAAAATAGTTTTCCCTAATATCCAGTCTAGACCTCCCCCACTGCTACTTGAGCGTATTGCTCCTTGTTCTGTCATCTGCTACCACTGAGAATAGCTTGGCTCCAGTGTTCCCTATAAGCTGGGTGCTTGTGCAGCCACTCAGGAGAGATTCAGATACTGCCCAGCTGTTTAGCAAAGCACCTGGGCTTGGGGGGTTCAGCTGAGGAGCTAAAAGTAGCAATGTAGACATTTGTGCTCAGGCTGGAGCACAGGCTCAATAGGCCAGTGAACAGGGATGGTCTCAGAGTCAAGTCTCCAGCCAGAACCCAGATATGTACAAAACTGGCTAGCCCCGGAGCAGAGTCAGTCCTAGGGGCGGGTGGTTGCCTGGGGCTCCCATTTTCCCAACGGAAGCCTGCTTGGGGGACACAGCAATTAAAGGGGCCGTGACCTCATTTTGACCTTTTTTTAAAAATTTTTGCTTGGCAAATTTTCCCCGGCGGTTGTCCGGGGCCGCCAATTGGTTAGGACCGGCGCTGCTAGCATGACCCTTCCAAGCCACAGTTGGTCTGAGATTCACTGCCATGGATTTTTTCTCCTGTGTTGTGGAACCCTACATGATTTGCCCAAAGTCACATGGGAAAGTTGTGGCAGACCTGGAAAAGATCCTGTTGATTTTGATGGGCTTTGGACCAGGCTATATAAATTGCAGTTTCTAGCTCCCAGTGCCATAGAGTTGTAATAATAACAATAAAGCTAGAGTAGTAAAACAAAAAGGAGTATTGCAGTAAGGAATCCTGCCAGGCCATTTCATTCTCTAATGCTAATAGAAATGCGTGCTTAAGGGAATAAAAGAATGAAATTTCATTGAAAATAGGGGGTTTTGGGGGTGAGGCTTTAATATTAAATATTTAATATTATTTTAATATGTGGTGTTCCTCTCTGTCCCAAGCACTGCATTGTGTTGTAGATGGATAGACAGACAAGCTGTTTGGTGCTACTGGAAAGTAAGCTGTAAGAGACTGTGTAACAAATATAAAAGTGATTAGTTTTTGGATATTCATACTCACTGAAATGCAGAAAACGGTGCCGCTCAGCCCTGCATTGAGACACCAGCATGATGTTTGTTCTCCATTTAAGTCCTCAAAGTAGGACTTGAGTAGCACTTTAGTGGCACATAGATGTGGGCTGACCCTCTGGAGGAGATGAACGTCATCCAAAGAAAGCAGGCAAAACAAATGGTGAAAAGGCAATTCGATTTTAAATTCTTGAATTGATTCCTTTTAGCGGGTCAGTTTGAGATTGGAGCTGGGCAATGTTTTGCAAAACCATATCAGTTTCATTGAGTTCTTTGGGTTGAAAACAAAACAAAACAAATATCCAAAAAAATGAAAACCATGTTTTTTAAATGAATCTTTGTTTTGTTCAAAATAACTTTGTGTTTAGTCATCTCATTTATTTTCTTTTAATTTTATTTTAAAAAGCTATAGAATGCTTGAAATCAGAACAAAACATTTTCTTCAATTCAAGATTATTTTATGTAAACTTTTTTTGAATTGCCAAAAAGTTCTGGAAATTTTCATTTTCAGTTCAAGTCAAAAAACTCTAAAAAGATTCCCAAAGAACCAAAAAAAAACCCATTAATTCCCCTGCTCTTTTTGAGAGCCTTAGACAGAATGTGCTAGAGCAGGAGTTCTCAGACTTTTGCTTACCACCTCCCTCTTTCTGAGACCAGCATCACCTAGAGACATCCGCCCCTATGGCCAGAACTCTCCTCCCCCCATTTAGAAAATGAGAAGAGCAGACTGGTCATGGCCCCATGTCACCTGTTTGCAACCTCCAAGAGAAAGTGGAGCTAGAGCAAGGCAAAGTAGCGGTGTTGTTATGGCTGACACACGCTGCATTATATTGATGTCAGTCTTTCTTTCACAGGACTGTACTTGAAGAGATCAAGAAATGGAGTGTGTTTTTTCCCCACTCAGATGTTTAGGGTGAGTACAACATCTTATCTTGTACCACAGCTCTCCTGTACTGTGCAGCAAAGAAAGATGTCTGCATGGTCAGAAGAACCTCTCTCTCCCTTGTTTTATCTGTGCTAGGATAACACCAGGCCTAATTTAGCATCAGCGAGGCAGAACATTTGGATTTTGTCATCCATTTCCAAGACTATTGTTCACTTCATTTTCCCCGTTTCTCATTTTAGTTGTACGTTTTATGGTAGGTTCCAAAAGATAAGTTAATGCCGACCTGATGATTAAATTTTTCCTTGTGCTCTGAAGATGGAAAACCTTTATCTAAATACTTATTATTATATGGGCAGAAGTTAATTCATTTACCAGTGTAATCTCATGAGAAATTTGTGCAAAAGGTCTGACTGTGGGGGACGGGATGAAATGTAACAAAGCAAAATGCAGGTTAAATATTAGAGAGCACGTCCTAATGGTGAGATCTAGCTGCTCAGGTTCCTAACTCAATTCATTTTTGTTTATTGGAAAATAAAATGAAAATGTACCTGCTTCATTTGAATCATTGCTGTGGGGCGGAACTGGGGCTGAGGGGCTCAGTATGCAGGCTGCCTTCGGGGGGAGAGGACTACCCCAGCCCTCTCTCACCACAGGAGGTTGGGGCCAGGTGAAGAGCACCTTCAGTGGGCACAGCTAGGGAAGGGGTGCATGTCCCCTGGCTGGGGCACATCCAGGTTTGTCTGCCCCCTGTGCTTCCTAGCAAGAGTGGGGAATGAAGCAAACTGTGAACTTTCCCCTCACTCCCTGACAAAAGGGAACAGCCAGCAATGTCTGTGTGTGCCTCCCCCTCCCTGCAGAGGAGGTGCATGGAGGGTGGGAGGGTCAGGGCTGGGGCAATCCTTGAGGTGGGACACCCCCAGCCAGCCCCTTTCATTTGCCTGGTGATTCTGTCTCTTTTCTGAGAAACAATCCTATTCCAGGTACTTCCTATTTTCCTAGCACAACCACACTGCTGTGACCTTGCTTTAAGTTACAATAAGCCTCCCCCTCCCTGCAGAGGAGGTGCATGGAGGGTGGGAGGGTCAGGGCTGGGGCAATCCTTGAGGTGGGACACCCCCAGCCAGCCCCTTTCATTTGCCTGGTGATTCTGTCTCTTTTCTGAGAAACAATCCTATTCCAGGTACTTCCTATTTTCCTAGCACAACCACACTGCTGTGACCTTGCTTTAAGTTACAATAAGGGGAAGCTGTGAACTGAATTTGTGGTCCTAGCTCTTACCGTTTAGGAGGAGTTCTCAGACAAACAAACTCAAATATATAGTAGATTAGTATTATTTGTATTACAATAGGACCGGTAGAATCAGGACCTGATTGTGAAGCATGATTAGCAATGCTCAGCGCTTCAGACTTTGAATTGTCTAAGTTAAGACCCTAAAAGGGTCTGATTTTCAGAAATGCCAAGAAATGCATTTTCAGAATGCCCTCCTTTGAAAATCAGGCTCCTCAGGAATATCTCTTAGTGGCTTGTGAAATGTAGGCCAAAGAGAGTCCCTGCCCTGAAGGCACACACTATTAAGGACCCTGTTCAACTTCCATTGAAGTCAATGGGAGTAAGTTAGGGCCCTAATAAATACCTACAGCTGTTTGAAGGGTGTATCTCTTCAAGGAGAATTTGGGCCAGGATCCTCAAAGGTATTTAGACTCCTGACTTCTGCTGAAATCAGTGGGAGTTAGGGACCTAAATACCTTTGAGGGGCTGGGCCTTTGCTGGTCTCTGACTATAGATTCCCTCCTTGACTCCCAATAAATAAGAATTATTGCTTAGGATGGTGCAGTCAGATCTTGCAGTGATGAAGGGCATGGATACTATATGAGGGTATGTCTACACTACCCCCCTAGTTCGAACTAGGGGGGTAATGTATGCATACCGAACTTGCTAATGAAGCCCGGGATTTGAATTTCCCGGGCTTCATTAGCATAAAGCCGGCGCCGCCATTTTTAAAAGCCGGCTAGTGCGAACCCCGTGCCGCGCGGCTACACGCGGCACGGACTAGATAG